CCCAGGATCGGTTCTTTCAAATTCACATACAAATTTTTTTTTACTAAGTATCGAAAACATACAATGATTATAGCTTATGCATATTAAATAAATCTATTGTGATAGCTACGATTTATTATGATTTTAATTATTATAATATAACTTGTACATAGGTTTAGAATTTTTACTATATTAAATGGTTTACTCACGGAAATCGTTACCTTAAATTAAAATGTAATTTTGTTGTAAACATAGTGTTACATGGTGAACAGTGTCAAATAGATGCCTTTTACGGACTCTTACGAATTTCTCGTAGGAAAACGATACAAGGGCCCAAAATGGTTGCCTCCTCCCCACCCCCAAATATAAATTTTCCGGCTACGTGTCTGGTGAGGGTTACGCTGCATAATTCTTATTCCTAGCACATTATATCGTATTATTAGTGTACTGCATGCACTACACCGTACATATTATTCTATGTAAGTAATGCTTGACGCACGAGATCGATTCCGAGTGTTGTAAGAATCTCCGAGCGAATAACTTGCACTCGACGTGTAAGCGTTTGCGCGAGAGATTATTTCCGGTGCACTACCGTCGCGTTGTACTTTCGGCCGTCTATTATCATTATTATCTACTTTTCGTTCGAGAGTTATTGTTTGTACACCGCGCGAAATATATACGTACGTCGTACGTATATACGTGTCGCCGTCGTCAAGAGGACACGTACCGGTGGACGCGAAGTGATAATGATGGGGAAAAAAAATAATAATAATAAATCTCCGTTGCGCGTACACGCGTACCGTGCGGGTTACGGACATTGTAACACGTTGAACCGTTCATATGTGTACATTAATTCTGACCGTGGTCGTGTCAATTCCGGCGCACAGTTCTATTTCATTGTTGTTGCGCGTGAAAACGTCGAACCAGAAATCGGACGTGATCAAAGGGAAAAAATAGCCTTACGACGCACAAGGTGTTTGCGGAAGACCAGTACGAACAACAGAACACAATAACAACGGTAATGATATGTACAACGAATAAAAAGTGCCGTCGAAAAACGTACGCGTTTCAATCGAGATATCAAAACAGCTGCTACCGGTTGGCTGGTAACCCGGACGCATCGCATTTGAATATACGCAATAACGCGGTGCACGTCGGTCCGCACAACCGTTTCGCGGTGCCTGCAGTCAGTGGCGTGCGCAGGGAGAGGGATGATGGGGGATATATCCCACCCAGGGTTTTTTTTTTAGTCTTAAACGTTTAAAAACGTATTTAAGAAATACAACGGGGCAGTCATGGTCAAATGGATTGGCGTTAATGAACATGCATTGAGACATTCCATTATCTTCAGAGCAAATAATTGATAAATTTAGTGTAAAAACCAGAAAGATGAATTTCCGCCTCGATCGCATTTTTTTTTTTTTTTTTGTTTAATAATAAAGGATAAAGATTGAAAATAATACATTTTTATTTATGAAATCTCCTCCCATACCGAATTCCTGCGCACGCCACTGCCTGCAGTCGTTGCCGCATTATGCTCTATAGCCACCCCGAGGCAAATCAAAATATGCCGCCCTTAAGAAAGTTACAATTCAAATAAAAAATAATTCATGCAATAGAAATAATATGCATTAAAGTTATACAGTCGTACAAGAAAAATTATAATTATATATTTTTTATTTTATGTTGATCCTCAAAAATTTACCACCCCATCAAACATCATGCAATTTTCTGTCCTGGGACAATTTCCCCCTCCCTTGCCACATTTCAAATGCTCAGTAGAAAATTATACTTTTGTGAGGTGCCCATACTCATAAAGTCAATTGTCCTTTTGATTTTTCCTACTACCCAATTAGTGTCGTACTGCCCGTTAGAACAAGACCTGGGCCTACGCAAGAATCGAAATTCGAAACTTTAAACGCTAAAGCGGAATAAAATAGGTCGAGCAAAGTGACACGTGTGCTGCAGCGTGACGCGCGAACCGTATTATAATATCGATAGCGTGGACCGCGGAGTTGTGCAGGAGTATACCTAGCAATGATGTTTATGATCGGGGCTGATCTAGGTATGTGTAAAATTCTTTGAACATCGATATTTGATGTATCAATACTTCGATTTTTAAAATATCGATGTGTTCGATGTATTGATGAAAAGCTATCGATGTTTAAGAACATCGAAGTTTAAAAACATTGAACATTTTTTTTCCCTTTAAAATTGCCATCTGTTGCACACCTTATTATCTGTACAGTATACTATTTTATTGATTAAACAATAAATTCAAGAGTTAAAATACTATTGTTTAACTTATATTTCTTATATTCATATTAAATACTTATAATCAGAGCTTGTAAGTTCATACATTTGCATGTTTTATTTGCTACATTAGAAAATATGTTAATTGAGATAAAAATCCATCATTTGTTTCATAAAAATGGTAATAAAAATCTAATGTTTAATAGAGCATGTTTGTGTGTATTGGCATATTTGGCATATAGTAGATTTTTTTTTTGAGCTATTAGCGCATATCATTTTTTGTAAATTCAGCGAAATCGTTTTTTTGTGGAAGTCAAAAAAAAAATTAGATCAATAAATGTTTGAATTAATTCTTATTTACTTTTCCGAACTTGTTTATAAAATCTTAATATTTTATCAATATTTTTATTTTTTAATGACATTAAATTTTATTAGTTAAAAGCAGTACCACGAAAACAATGTTATTGCGCACCATTACCACTCTCCTCCTATTGACGTGTCCTTTATAATCTATCTATTTTCGTCGAAACGTGTGTCCATTAATTATAATTTTAAATACCATATAACCGATTATTGCATGCTTATTTATGCTTTTTTTAGGGCATGAACTTATGAGCCCTGATTATAACTGTACAGTTTATACTGGGTCTGATATGTTTACCCGACACTCAAATGCCCGGCACTTCAATTGCCCGACTCCATTTGCCCGACACTTCATTTTCCCGATACTACATTTGCCTGCGACCCGACAATATATTTTACATATTTTTACTGTACGTAATACTGATGTACAATATTTTATTATTATTTATTAATATACAATATGAATAAACAATAATTAAAAAAAAAACTAAATCAGACGAATATTTTATCTAACTTTTCAACAATGTCTGATAGTTGCTGTTATTATCATTTCGAAAAAATTATCTACGAAAAACTTCATTTTCTAGGAAACTGATTCATTCAAATTTTTCTTCGTTGGTGCAGTTTTTTTACTAGGACATCAGTGATCCTGATCATTGGTGGACTTAGGGGGGTGATAGGAAGCTGAAGCAACCACTGTTCCGTTTATTGAACTTTTTTTGTAGTGTTGTAAATTACTTAGAAATCAAATATCGCTATGTTTACTGTACAGTACATGGTGTAATGATGAATTAGATATAAAATAAAAAATTTTTCCTAAACGTAAAAATTCTCTTACAAACATATGCTATGCTTCCAGTTTCTACTGAAACCATAGAAAGGTCATTTTCGATCTTAATAACGTTAAAAAATGATATGCGCTCTACAATGACTGAGTCTAGACTAAACGGTTTTACATTATTAAATGTTCAGAAAAATTTATTTGTAGATATTGATGTTGTCTCATCAAAAACAAAGAAGAATAGAAATTTTTAAATTTTATAAAAAATGAATGTGTTGAAAAAGTAGCATTTATTTTTTGCTAAATATCATCATGGATATTTATGAAGAGGGAACCAGGGGTTAAGGGAGCTCATATATTTCTAAAGAGTAAACAAAATACTTGCATATAACATAACTTATTTTCGTGAACATTCAAACACCAAACTATTAATTTGTATTTGTCCCGAAATTATACATTAAGGTTCATTATAAGGAAAATAGCACCCACCATGAAAAAATACAAGATCCGCCACTGATCCTAATGTACATATTTATATTTATTTTATTATATTTATTTTGTATTAAATCAGTTGTTTGATACATATGTTAATACTTGGGTTAGTAAGAGAGCACTTTAAAAATAACATACATGATTACCTAACTTTTAAATAATAATTATTCCAATAAATCTTGCGGCTTAGGTGTTCAATATAAACAAGTCATAATATCATATCGTACATTTTTTTTCGTAATTGGTATTTAATAATTATTTGTTGTGTTCGTATAATTTACAACAGCAAATTTCTATAGTAATAATAGTATTCCCTTGGTCACGCCATCACGCGTGAACGGCTAAGCTAATTTCGTTAATTCTTTTTTTTGTTGTGTTTATTATTGTCAGAAGAAGGTTAATTTGAAAGAAAAAAATTAAGAAAATTGAGCAGAAAATTAGAAAATTAAAGAATACTTATCGTACTACTTATCGCTCAATGCACGACGCATTTAATCAAGAGTTGTCTTTAAGTAATTAAACCAAATATGATTCCGAGGAATTAAAAGAAACTGTTCTAAGGAACGTTTCCCTTTTAAATAAGCAATAAAAATATGCTTACGATACGCTAATGAAGGTAGTGAACGATGGAACTGGCGGATTTTTTTTTCTTATATGCTCCCGGTGGGAATGGGAAAACTTTTATAATATCATTGATTTTTGGCAACAATTCGATCGCAAAATGGTATCGCACTTTCACTTGCTTCGTCAGGTATTGCAGCTACCTACGTTGTTGGAAGGCGGTCGTACAGCTCATTCTGCACTCATGGTGCCGTTGAACTCGAAAATAAATGAAACACCAACTTGCATGCTTTCGAGAAATTCTGCGATGGCTAAAGTGTTGCAGCAGAGCAAATTAATAGTTTGGGATGAGTGTACGATGGCACACAAAAAATCTTTGGAAGCATTAGACCGCACGCTGCAAGACTTACGAAAGAACAAAAACCGGTTTGGTGGTGCAATGATTTTATTGGCAGATGATTTTGGCCACGAACACTACCAGCAATATCACTATCAACGCCAGCCGACAAACTTAACGCATGTTTAAAGTCATTTCATTTTATGGGAAGACGTTCAAACGCTCAAATTAAATATGAACATACGAGTCGAATTGCAGAACGACCAATCCGGAGAAGTTTTTTCTAAAAAATTGCTCAATATCGGTAATGGCAAAATACCTGTTGACTCATCGTCTAGATACATCATATTTCCTACCAATTTTTATCGCTTTACTGAAACCAAGACCAAACTCACTGTGAAGGTTTTCCCAAATATAACTCAAAATTACAAAGATCATGTATGGTTGAGTGAAAGAGTTGTATTGGTTGTAAAAAAAAATGTTGATGTCAATGAAATGAATTTTCAGATTCAGAATAAGATAGTAGGCGAATTAATGACATACATATCGATTGATTCTGTTCCTAACCAAGATGATGTTGACAACTATCCAACGGAGTTTTTAAATTGGCTGGGATTGCATGGATTACCACCTCATAACACGCAATTAAAAATCGCATCGGTAATCATTATGTTGCGGAATATAAACCAGCCACGTTTTTGTAACGGCACCCGATTTGCGGTGAGGAAATCAATGAACTACGTCATCTAAGTCACAATTTTGAAAGGGAAGTACAAAGTCGAAGACTTTTTGATTCTACGGATTCCTTTGATTCCGAACGCTATGCCATTCGACTTAAAACGGTTATAATTTCCAGTGCGGCTAGTACTTGCAATGTCGATAAATAAATATAAACTTCAAGGGCAGTCGCAAAGTGTTTGTGGCATCAATCTTGAAAATCAATGTTTTTCACATGGCCAGTTATATGTCGCCTGTTCCCGTGTCGGAATACCAATAAAACTATTTATATACGCGCAAGAAAAAAAAACTAAGAATGTTGTATATCATAAAGCATTAGAATAGTAAACACTTTTTTTTTAAATTATTCCGATTCGAATTCATTATTCATAATTAAGACAAGAAAACGTCTATCGGGTCAGCTAGATATATATATATATATATATATATATATATATAAATCGATTTTTATTACTATATCATTACATACAAATTTTACTTAAAACCGGTTTTTTATGATTATTAGACTATAGATTATTATAAATCTTCAAAATATGTTTAGTAACCAATATAAATCGCCAATAGTCTTTAATTTCAACTCTAGAAAATGTAATATAATATTTTTTAATATTATATTATACGAATTTTTCCTGCAGTTAATGAACATGATTTTATTTGATAATACACAGATATTTTACCAAAAATATGTGCATGTATATCAACTTAACAAGTAAAATATTCCAAAATTTAATTTATTGAAATTTTACTCCAAATCACCATTAACGTCCTTGGAATGAGGTTATATGAAATATAGCACAATGGTGTAACAAGAAAACAACGGCAGATGAAAAACGGTAACGTTATGCCGCAGGGCTTATTTATGAATATATGGTTTTATAATCGCGTGTGACAAAAACAAAATAATGATAAATAAAAACTATATGGAATCATGTATTCTCGTGTTCAAGGTGTGTTTTAATATTACATTATCTTACTATCCGTAAAATTATCCCTTAACGATGTCTGTATAGATAATATGTATAATCAGTACTCCAAATGAGCTCATTCAACTCATACAAGAATTGGTATCAAAAAATAATAATATTAACCTATATTATTCAATGGATTTCCTCTTAAGTCGAAATACCTGGGAACAAAAAATTAAACTAAAAATCCAAAGAACCTTAACTACATCACTGTCTTCAACAAAAAGGTATTTCTTAACATATTACAAGTCGCTATATACTAAACAATGTGGTGGAAGGACGGCTGAAATATAGGCTTAGTTTATTTCTTTCGAACAAACTGAGAAACGTGTAGCTAAAATTAAAATGTTTTCAATACATCCCTGACATTAAAAGAAGAGAGGAAGTTATTATTATAAATATAGTAACAATTGATCACACCCACCTATGGTAACACACGATTACCTTGTTAGTAAACAACCAGCACCAGAATGTGATTTATCGACTTATGCAACGTAAAAACAGAAATAGAAAATAATGATAGTGATAAACTGTCCGAAATACATTGAAGTCCGTGAAATCCTTAACAACTGACCTTCATGTCACCAAGCCCTAAATTAAGAGAATATAGCTAGTAAATATTATATTTTTTTATGAGATAAATTTAATCTAAAAAAAATAAACAGTTATTATTATACTTAAATTTGAAATGATGTTCTTTTTATATTTTAGTCACTAAGTGAAAGATAGTCCGAACCTTTACTGTTGGAGCCATGTCTAGTAATTAAATAAAAAATAGAAATAATAATAATGATAGTATGCCCTTTTGTTTGTCTCTCCCAAATAGTTCTACGGTAAGCAGCCGCCGCCTCTGTCAAACCAATTTATGATTGTTATACAAGTACGTTGAGTCTATTAAAACCCCATCAATTTTGGTAAAACAAAAAATCGCTGTTACGAACTAGCTGCAGCCCACATGGCCACTTTTACATTGTTATTGTTAAATTATCGTATACAGGATAAAATTACGAACACGATTTTATAGTATAACCATTTTCAGTATATATTTATAAGATATTTTAAAGTATTTTTATGGTGTTTTGGATGTATTCAAAAAAATTGATAATATGGTTATTGAACACTTTTCACCAGCATTTCTACAATATTTAAATATTTGTATTCGAAAATATTCCGATTTTAATAATCGTCGGATCAACTTGGATATTATACTTTATATATATATACTTGAAGTACACTTGAATACTAAAAAAAATAAATAATAATATTAGAGAATGTCGTAGGTACCCATATTATCACGCGTTATATATTAATTTCTGACTAAAATTTAACGGACAAACGTATTTCGAAAAATTATCAGCGCGAAAACATAGGCTATTGCTGGTAAACAATAAAAAATTGTATGTATACAATATACATAGTATCCAGTACACACGTACGCACACGCACACACACTCACACTTATTATCTTTCTTTGATTCGAATATGCTGCACAGTATTATGTAACAACAAATTATTCGATATAACGGCCGTCGCCACACATTGTTTTCGATCTCTGGCACGTTCAACTATACTGCATAACATTATTTTATTCGACGGTTCTGTATGATATGTATTTAGGGTAAACCCGAACAGCCTGTCAAATCGCACCGGTTTAAAACCAAACAATAAAGGTTCGATGTATTATAACACTCACGGATCTTTATTTCATAAATGGCATGCGTTGAAGTGTTAAATATGCGCACATTGAGGTATGTAAGTATTACATACGTTTCTGTGCACGGAAAATACATAAAAACTATTCTAAAATATACACTGGAATACCTAATGGCTTTAAATTACAATAAATTAATGCCTAATAATAAAATGTTACAAAATACAACAATTTTGACTGGATACTGACATTTAACAATTACACCAAAGAAATGTTATTTATAAACCAAGTATAGTTAGGTTTTCGATTAACACTTCAATACATAGCCATAGCCACAGAGCATAGCATAGTATATAGAGTATAATAACATGATTTGAACTGTTTTCTATATGGTTTCTATTGATCTCGAAACGTTTTTTATTTTATTTTTTATTCAAAATTTTGTTTCCGATATCCCAGAAACACACCCAAACATGGTTTGGTTACCAGTGTTCTCGTTTATAAATAATTTTATAAATATATATAATAAATCATTCAGTTATATATATTTATGTGTTGAATGTTATTATATACCACATCATGTTGTCGGATCAGTTGGACGATGGTTGTGAGAATGCGATTGAAAAATAAAAGTAAATAAGAAAAAAAAACATTTGATTGCTATGAGAGAATAATTTTCATGCAATACGTTTTATACGTGGAAACTCTTACTTCAGTCGTGTCAGAACGTAATAGTTTTAAAAAAAAAAAAAAAAAAAAAAGTAAAAATAAAACGTACATTTTATTCGGGTGTAGTTTTCTATTTAGCGGTTGACTTCTTGCCAAATCACGGTGCGTGCGCGTAACCGGATGTGTATAGTAGACACATAATGTAATACTTTATGAGCATATGTATGTGTTATTAAAAACGTACGAAATGTCGAAAAGAGGTTATCACAAATGAATCGCGAATCGAAGAAACGCCAGGTGCATTTATCAGTATATACTGTTTATCGAATAAGAAACTTTCCGATCACACCGTCGAATGGTTCACGATGGAGTCGACCACACCGCAAGTGCATACCATGCAGCTGTATCTGCGATTAATTTGTACGCAATGTCTTACGACACAATAAAGTATTAGAAACGGTGGTGTTCGGTACGTACTATTTTTAAATACAAATCATTGGTGTACATATACGTATTTATATACATACAAGCCAACGAAGAATTAAAAAAAAGTCAAAGTTACTTTTACCTCAGTTGCTAAGCAAACCAATTTTTTTTCTATAGTAACTTTTAACTTAACGAGTTATTCATTTTTTCATGATATGCACGTACTAATAATTTTATTTTTTCGTACAAATTATTGATTTCAATAACAATTATAGAAATTACAATTCAGAAAATGTCGAATGCGTCATCCCTGGATTTCAATATAGATCAAAATAACCTATATAATACGTATACATAACGAATTGAACATACATTCTATCTGTCAAATTTTAAAACAAATATATGTCACACGGTCCTGCTAACATTTTGATGTCTGCAGGTAACACTGCAATAAATTTTGATTTATTTCCTTAAGTGCTTAACAATAAACATTTTCTTGTATTACATTATTATTGTTATTTAAATAATTACTTACTAAACTACTTATAATTTATAGATCATTATATTATTATTATTTTTGTTATTATTGCTATTGGAGTTTATTCCGTAGTAAAGAAAATTATTATTATAAACGCAATTGTATATCAAAATTATAGTATTATTCGATTGAGAAAAATATTACTTATTTTTAACTAAGTAAAGTTTTTTATTTTCCCTGCATCACTTGTAATCATTTACAAGTTAATAAAAGAGATAGGTAAATTTTAACTTTAAGCCAAACTTGGATACTTTTTCAAGATTAAATTGACGAGTTAAAACAATTGGTTTAATTGGCCGGCTTTATAAATATACATATATGAGGATTTACCTATGGTATCTGCTGCATAATATTTACACATCTACACACAAATAATTTACGTATGAGCATTGACAGTGGCATATCAGCAAACGAAAACAGACGTCGGAAGTATAAAAATCACTCGATAAAGTTCATTGCCACAACACGCTCGTATGTATTGCATTCGTCACAATACGAAGAATAATGATGTGCGTCGAGTAAAAAAAAAATAGAAACCATTTAATTATCATCGTATACGGTGTACACGACAATATAATATAAATATTATGTTATGCAAATCAACATTGAGAAATTACCATTTTTTGATAACTTAAAAATCCTATAAGGGATACGTTTATATGTATTTATTACGACCCATTCGATTTAAAAGTACTAAACCCGTGCCCTGGTCGGTAAAGAATACAAGTTCTTCAAATGAATTTAAAATAGTTTTTTTTTTCTT